GAGGTTGTTTACATTGTATTTGGGATTAATTTGTTTTTTTGTAAAATTCGTATAAAATATATGGATAATCAAAATGAGGTGGGTAGATTCATATATCAAAGGTAATACTGATTCTTATTAATTTAATATATAAATGTGATCATCAATTCATTTAGCTAACTTCAATAATTTTAAAAAAACTATCGTCATCGCGCAACGTGCGATGTCAAACACTAGTTTTATAATATAATATAATTTATAGGTATATGTGTCATTTTATAAATATTTTTAATTTTTTTAATTATTAATTGTTTTCTTTCATTTCCTCTCATATTTGGGAGGAAAATCATCATTATTTTTTTTCCTTTTTCTTTAAAAAACTCGAAAACATAAGATTTTTTCTTTTCTTCCCTCTACTTCATAAAAAAATCGACAACATAACATTAGAGCGTTTAATTTTTTTTTCTCAACAATAGAAGTTATTATGTAGTTTGTAGGGTTCAAAACTTGGAAATCAACATGATGTGTTATTGTGGCATGTTTCTGCTTATACCAAAGTTCTTGCCTCCAATCTAAATAATGATTCACAATTATAACAAGAAGTATTTTTACAACTATTAGAACGAGCTCAATATTCTTGATATCCAATAAACACATATTAAATTACTAATTGATGTCGGGTTTTGTGATAAGTTAGACAAGATTCTTGCCAATAATTGCACATTTCTTAAGCAACATCCTCTTCCCTACTTTTCTCTCTCTTCAATTTCTTATTACATAACTTTTTCATTCTTATAGTAGATTCTTTAAAATATTTTCTAAAGTAGAGAAAACATGAAACCAGATCTGTTCCTGACATTTTATAGGTCCTGGACGAATGTAAAAACAGGGTCCAGGAAAAGAAATAAGACTTTAAGTTCATTTATCATCAGATTTATCGTCGCTATAACTTGTGGCTGAAACATGTCGCTAAAAGACGCATCGTCAAAACTCACTTTTCTTGTAGTGACCCTCGGTAAGTACGAAAAAAAATTCAATAAATGTTTTTCATTAGTATAAAATTGAGTACAATAAATGCTAATAATTTACCGAGGAAAGAAATCTTATTTATCTTTATTATAGATATATATGAGAGTACTTAAATTTACATAATTCTTATTAGGTAATTTGAAATCAAGTGCATAGAAACTATGGTTGATAGTCTTTTATGAAAATGAAGAATATTTTTAGTTCATAACAAGAAATATGTGTTATTTTAATACAAAAAGAGAATTAATATGAATGAAGTAACAGGGTCAATGAGAGATCACTAATAAAAAAGATTATCAAGATTTTCTAAATAATTAGACAAATGGGGATCAATAAGAATATGAAAGAAAATATGATCGATCGAGATCCAATAAGAATAAATAATGAATTAAACATATAATATGAAAGCTCAACAAATGATTGTTTGAGCACTTAAATAGAATCTTGTGGTGTGGTGGAATACCAATGAMAGATACATAAGTCAAACAATTGATAAAAATATTTAAATTCTATTTTCCTTCTTTTTTTGTTCAACTAAAATAAGATATTAAGATTAAAAATTTATAGAACATGACATATATAAGAGACATTAGTAGAAAAAATTTATTGATTAATCATAAAACTATGAAACACATCATAAATAATAAGAACAATAGATTGATTGTCAAACAATAGTAAAATATTTTATGTTGAAGCAAAAACAGATAATAATAGTCAATAAAAACAATTTGAACAACATAACCAAATAACAATAGTCAATATAAACAAAAATAGATAAAAATATCCAACAAAAATATATAGCAATAACAAGCACATGATCTTAACGTTGAATTGTAGAAGCACGAAAACAGTCGAGCATATAGAGATAGCAATAACCAATATCATTGGACCTTGTTGGAGATAAAAAAAAGGGAAAAGTACAATAAAAACCAATGAACTTTCTTGTTTGGAATGATTAAGTCCTTGAACTTTTTTTTGGAACAAATA